TACCTTTGGCATGGGTGAGTTTCTTTTAAATTCTCAATTTTGACTGGAATCTAATTTTTTGTTCGGCAAAAAATATTTAAGATAAAATATACAATTTTGTGTTAATTACAAGAACTTTTCTTTTATCCTTAAGTAAATAAATAATTAAATTATAGTAATTTAAACTGTCAAGTTGGAAGCATGAAATTATCACCAAAATAAAATGACTATTTAAATGAAATTTTTTGTTGTAACCAAGATGCAAGTTTCTAATTTAACAAGGTAAAACTGTATCTAAACAGGAAATTATACTGGCTTAAACATTTAAAGAACATTTTGTAGTACAAATAATATTAATATTAAGTGATTTGAATTACCGCGCGAATACGAAATAAATAGATAAAAGTGGGATTATCAAAATAAATCAAAGGGAAGGCTGAACAAAAATTTACATATAGAAGTTATAAAGAATTTGGACTTGGCTACAACCTATTAAATCAATTATTTAATTGTAAATCTAAATGACACATTTTGTAATACACAGAAAAATTAGAATATTGTTGTTTTTGTACAATGAATCTGATAGAAGATTTATATAAATATTGAAAAAAATATTGCAACTCCTTGAGATATGTGATGAAACTTTCTCTTAACACTGTTAAAAGACATCATTATCAAACAAAGCAAGTATTGGATTAATTCAATTTAAACAAAAAGTAATTTATTATAAAAATTGGTCCGCAAATCTATAAAACTATTAGGTCAATCGTTTTTTCCCTCATCCAGTGTTTCTCTTTGATTGGTATTGGTTTTGTAGCTTTATTAACATCAGATAAAACGTATGTCTTAAGACCGTCCGATTCTATTTGCATCACAGTTAATTTGGTCTTATAGAATTAACTGTTTTTAAAAACAAAACTTGAAAACTCAGATTTTTAAGTGTTTGAAACCAAAATTCAGTTTACCACCTAAATCTGTGCTTTCTACAGTTTTTGTGAAAGGGCCAAACTGGAGAATCTAAAATTGTATTCGACGACATATCGATTTACTTAGATAAAAACACTTTGTAAGTTGGTTTCTTATACTCAAAATAAACTAGTAAATAAAGATATAGAAAAGTCAGTTAAGATTTGTCCCTTATACGTTTTTCATCTTATCAAGACTTAGAATCAGATAATCAAGAAATTTGCAGGGAGCCATGAACAACGACTCCATCATCATGTAAACGTCGAGGCTATCCAGCTCCTCGACAATACGAACCTAGAGAGAAAGCTAAAAAAGGCAAAGCCTTTTGAACTGGTATAGTGAGTGAGTGAAAAGCAGAGCAAAGTGTTGTGCGAGTATGCATGCTAAATTTAATGCTAGTTATTAGAAATAATAGGAGAGATACTAGTGAGTAGACACCTAATTTTAAGTTTTCATTAGTAATTTAAGTTAGAAACAAATTGATAACTGGTCTAACTGACCAGATTTAAATGTAAGTACACTTCGGTGTCTTTAGTAAAAAAAAATCAAGACTTAGAGGGATTGGTGTGAAAGCCCTGCACGGTTTCTACACCAGGTTTCTACACTCGCTCTGATGATTGTTGCAAAGATTAAATACGTATAAGCGAATAGTAGAGGCACTATAAGTAAAATCAAATATGAATTGTCTTTTCTATATCTATTACTGTTTTTAGTTTTAATTCAAAATATCCTCAAAACAAAGGCAAATGTTATTTAAAAGCAAGAATCCCATCTGGTCGCAAATGGTCATCCAAAGTGGTCATCGACCAATTGCCAATTGCAAATCTAGCATTTTCAAAATAAAATGTCTTTATATATTCTTTTGCGGGAAGTTGATATCGCAAAATACCATTACTAGATCTTTTCCTTAGGGTGCCTGTCTGTTCCGAACATTGGCGATCATTCTGGCTATGATAACTTTGTTGGTTGGTATACGAAATAACTGTGTTGAGATCTTTTAAAACCATGCCCTCTTCTTCGTCCTGGGGCCCTTTTTCTTTGAATTTTACCTTGGAAAATGTATTGGAGTAGCTTATATCTACCTTGATTTCTCATTATATGTCCCTTCTGTATAACCAGAGCTCCAAATGCTGAAGTTTTGATAGAGTTTCTGCCTTTAATATCCACGTTTCAACTCTATACAGAAGCACTGAGTAAACGTAACATTTAAGGAGCCTTATTTTTGTTTTGAGGGTAAGGTTAAGGCTCTTGAACATAGAGCTTATAGTCAAGAATGCACTTTTTGTCTTTCCGATGCGACATTTAATCTCTTGGGTATTATCCCGAGACTCATTGATTATAGTTCCCAAGTAGTTGTACTGTAAGACAAGTTCAATTCTCATTTGGTTCACATACAGATTTGCTCCAGTTATGTTTTCCTTGCTGATGATCATTTGATTGGTTTTGATGATGTTTATATCCAGTCCATATGTTCTACTTGTTTCCGTTATTTTATTAATTAAGTTTTACAGCCCTTCTATGATATTGGAAAACACTATTGTATCATCTGATAACATTGGTGTAATCTGGTGGCAAAATTTTACGAAATTATTTAATAAAAAAACTGTTACAGACATTTTATTGGTATATTGCAGTTTCCAATAGTTCCGCTCTAAAACACGATTCTCTAAAACGTTTGAGTATCATGATAAACAAAACGCTCATATAATAAAGAGGGGTTTTTTTAACAAACATTAGTCTAAAAAAAATAGTTTTATTTATGTCTTATTCGCTATTCGTTTCTTATCATATCTGCATGTCCGTCTGCTAAAACTCTATTTCTTTTTCTTCTTCTAGTGCCGTCTTCACTAATGAAGATTGGCTATAACCATTGCAAATTTGTCCATATCTTCTGCTTTTCTTAAGAGCGTCTGTGTATTTAAACCGGTCCAGTCGCGAATGTTTTTCAGCCAGGATATTTGTCGTCTATCAGGATCCCTTTTTCCTTTGATTTTAATCTTCTCAATCAGCTGCAACATTCGTAATTATTATTTCTAAGTATATACCCCAAATATGCTGTCTTTTGTATTTTAACAGTGGTGAAAAGTTCTTTGTCTCTTTCCATTCAGTGCAACACCATTTCGTTCGTAATATAATCGGTCCATGGTATCTGCAACATTTTCCTAAAAAGCCACATCTCAAAAGCTTCCTTCTTCTTAACATGCCATACACCAAAGTGCATAGGCGACTATCTCATTACTAGAATTCTGTTCCTGGCGGCGTGACACAGCTCACCTGTATTGTGTATTTCTGTCCATTCTTTAATATTCCTTAACCAGGATAATTGTTTGCGGCCGGCTCCTCGCCTACCTTCGATCTTCCCTTGTAGGATTAACTGTGGTATTTCATATTTTGCTCCTCTCAATATGTGCCCAAGGTAACCAATCTTGCGATTTTTAATTAATTCAAAGAGTTCTCTTTCCACGCCGGCTCTATTAAGGACGTCATCGTTTCGAACTCTATCCACCTAAGGTATGCGCATCATTCTTCTCAATGACCACATTTCAAATGCTTCAAGTTTGTTGATAGATGTTTTTTTCAAAGTCCACATTTCCATGCCATAAAGCAAGATGTGTAGCACTTGACCATTCTGTAGCGTGCTTCGAAGTTTAGGTGTTGATTACATAGGAGCGGTCTGAATTTCACAAAAGCTTGTCTTGCCATTTGTATTCGGGAGTTTTCCCGAAAAGCTTCCAGTTTTCTCATTAAGTCAACATTAACAGTCCAGGCTTCGATACCATAAAGAAGAATAGAGTGGATATAACATTTTACCTTCCAATATAGGATTTGCAAATTGAGTCTTTGGTTACTCAGAAATTTCCTCATCTTCAAAAAGGCTGCTCTATTCTTGCGCGAATTTCTGATTTCGGATTCAGATCTTCCATAATCTAGGCTCCTAAGTATTTCATTTTCTCCACTTGCTCAATATCTTCATTTTTTATCTGGATGACCAAAGTCATTACAAGGATTCAGATAATCATAATCCTCTCTTACTGATAACCATGGTTTTTGTTTTCTTTATGTTTATTGTTAAACCAAACTGTTCCCCAGCATCACAAATTGTGTTTAGTAATGTCTGCAAGTCTGTCTCACTTTCAGCGATAATGACTGTTTCGTCAGCATAACGGATATTATTTATATGTTCACCATTTATCTTGATCCCTTCTGTACAGTGCTTGCGTAAATAACTCTTATATACTATATTATATAGTAGGAATATATATTAAACAGTAATGGTAAATATACAGCCCTGTCTCACTCCTTTTTCTTTAGACATGCCGTGAGAATCTTGTGATTAACTTTCTCGAAAGTTTTCTCATAGACTATAAACGCAACGAAAAGATCTTTTTGTTGGTCTCGACATTTTTGGGCAAGAATTGTGAAACTATACAGAGCCTCCACTGTTCCGAAGCCGTTACGAAAGCCAAACTGTCTATAACTCATATCCGCTTCGCACTTTATGAATATTCTTGCATGTATAATCTTTAAAAACTTTTTTAATAAGTGCGACATTAATCTGATTAATCTATAGTCAATACAGTGTTTGGAGTTCTTGGTTTTTGGTAGTGGTAGTCGATAGCAGCCATTCTGTAGATATCTTACCTCTAAAACTCTTAGATAAATTAATTTAAGTAATACTTGTAATTAAAATAATAAATATGATTATAATACTGTATAAAATGGACAGAGAGGAATCACTTTTTTCAAATGAGATAGGTAATGAAATAATAGAAGTAAAAAAGGAAATGATATAAAATCTACAGTACAAATAAAAAGATTCCTTAGGCAGCAAGACTTATTTCTGTATGAACGAAAACATTTTTATAAAATTAATTAAAAAATATTAATTGTCATATGCTTAAAAACGTTATTCAATATTATCCAAGATACTAATTTTTAGTATATATGTTTACTGTGTCTTGTTTTGTTTAATAGTTTCATCTATTTCTCAAGGTAATGCAATATCAATATTTTAAATTAAAAAAAATGTATCAATTAGAAACCTATTCCGAACTCTACGAACTTTTATCATGCATTTCCTGCAGCTCCTCCTCTTCTTTTGTTAAAGGTATCGTTGAATGGTTGTACAACCCTTGGGCCATCAATTGAAGCGCCAAGGGATTCTTCTGGCCTGAGGCCTTCTTAATTTTGGCTCGTTTATTTTGGAACCATATTTTTATTTGAGCTTCATTTAAACCTAGCTCCGCGCTAAGTTGCTGTCTTCGCTTCTCTGTCAGGTAACGATTCTCTGCAAATTCGTGCTTCAGTCTTGCCAACTGCGCCCCAGAAAAAGCAGTTCGGGGACGTTTTTCTTCGGGAGTCGTGTTGGTTGGAACAGCCTTTCCGCCTGGTTTCTTTGGTCTTCTTGTTCTAGGACCTGAAACAAGATAATTTAATTGAACTAAAATTTTGCAAATTATTATTCAATTGTGAATATTACTTTATACATTTTCCTTGTATGTTTTAAATTAAATGGTGGACACTGTAAGTAATTTTATTAAGATTTTCATGTAACTTAACATTTATTTTCATAATAAAATAAACTATTTGAGAGCTAGTACACGATTCTTAATAAAAAAGAGTAAGAAGGAGACCTGGATTGAATATGTTAGAAGCATTAACACATCCACACCAGCAAATATAATCTGGAACAAAATAAAGAAAATAAAAGGACCAAGTTTACCTTACTCAATAAATGCACTTTCATATAACAACCAAATCATCTCTTATAGAAACGAAATTCCTGAAATTCTAGTAGACGTATTTCAAAAAAACTAGCGATTCTGTACTAGATCCGATCTTTTCTACACATAAGACTACCACAGAATTTGTAGACATCAAAATTCGCAACCAGATCTCTCCAATAAATGTACCCATAACTTTGCAAGAATTAGATTTTTCACTTTTAAACTTAAAAACCACATCTCCAGGTCCTGATGATATTCCATCGATATTTTTAAAAAATCTACCCCAAAAATGCAAAAAGATACTTTTAGACATCTTTAATCACATCTTTTTAAATCATTACTTTCCTGATAATTGGACCAAAGCTATTATAATCCCAATTTATAAACAACACAATCCAAAAGATTGTCCCACATCTTACCGTCCTATTTCCCTCACCTGTAGCATGTGTAAACTTCTCGAGAAAATTTTAAATTACAGGCTTACATGGTATCTAGAAAATGAAAATCTCCTGACCACAGTTCAAAGTGGTTTTCGACGATCTGCTAACGACAACTTAGTGGCACTTGAGTCAACCATTCATGATGTATTCTTACTAGATCAGAAAGTTATAGCAGTCTTTTTTGATGTGAATAAAGCTTTCGACACAACATGGAGATACCTCATATTAAATAAACTTGATAAATGGGGAATTCAAGGACATATGCTTGCGTTTATAAAAAACTTTCTGAATAAAAGGGAAATACAAGTAAGAGTAAACGGATACACCTCTACCACTAGAATACTCGACAACGGTGTTCCACAAGGTTCTATTTTAAGCCCAACTTTATTTTTAATTGCATTTAACGATGTAATAAATACAATTAAGCCTCCTATAAAAGCAAACTTATACGCTGATGATTTAGTTGTGTATATTAAATGCAAAAATATTACATCTGGGGCTAAAATACTACAGAACCTTCTATACAAAATCGAAGAATGGTCTTCCAAAACAGGCTTCCTCTTTTCAACTAATAAGACACATTACACAGTTTTCAGCAAACGCAAGAATACCATTCCTGTTTCGTTAATATTTAACGGTCAAAATATATCTCATTCAGAGGAATCGAATTTTTTGGGCCTAACGTTTGATTACAAATTAAACTGGAAAACACACATTATGACTTTACAACTAACTTGTCAAATTAGAATAAACTTGCTGAAAATTCTATCCAATAATATATGGGGAGCTGATTCTAGTATTCTGCTTAACCTCTACAAATCAATTATTCGTAGTAAACTAGACTACGGTGCAATATGCTACGGTACAGCAAATAAAACGTTTCTAAAAAACCTTAACACAATTCAAATAACAGCTCTAAGATTAGCCGTCGGTGCCTTCAGAACCAGTCCTGTAAGCAGCTTACAAGTAATATCAAGAGAACCCCCTCTACATCTAAGACGACATCTACTTAGTTTAAATTATGCAGCAAGAATATCTTCCAATAAAAAGCACCCATTATATTCTGAGATTATTAACGCACCTACATCCAATTTGTATAGAAAGAACCAATATAAAGACAAACCCTTTAGGGAAAGAATCAATCAAAAAGGATTCAATTGCAATGAATTCAAATTATCCATAACTACAAAATTAGACTTTCCTCCAAGGCATACCCCCTTACCTATCACCGATTTAACTTTAACACAGTAACCAAAAAATACCACAAATCCTAACCTTACCATTAACGCATTCAAAGAAATTATGGAGAAGTATCCAAATCACTACATAATATACACAGATGCATCAAAAACTGAAAGTGGCCATGCTGCAGCCTTCACAAATAAAAATTACAAATATGCCATTAGAATTCCACAGCATTGCAGCATTTACACCGGAGAAACCACAGCGATATTAGAAGCTATCAAGAAATCCTCTTCAACGACTGAAAATAATATTTTAATCATCACAGATTCACTGAGCGCAATTCATGGAATTAATCAACTTTACCCTAGCCATCCTATTGCACAAAACATAAGAAATGAACTTAATGCACTACACCATATAAATAAAAAGGTTACATTTATCTGGATACCTTCACACATTGGCATTAAAGGCAACGAGGAAGTTGATCAATTAGCATTAAAATCCATCAAAAATGAAAATGTTCCAGAAATTACTAAATATCCCCACACCGACCATAAACGACAGTCCATGAATCATATAATAAATTTATGGCAAGCAACAGACTCTAAGTTGAAAACAATAAAGCCTCGAGTAGACTCTAGCCTACCACAACAAGGAAAAAGAAGAGATCAAGTAATCGTAAATCGTCTTCGAATCGGCCACACAATACTAACACACCAACACCTTCTAAATAAAGAACCAGCTCCAATTTGTACCTACTGCTCTACTCAACTCACGGTGAAGCATCTGATAGTCGACTGTCCGCAGTTCCAACCTCAGAGAACATGCCGAGGAATTAGTGGAAACCTGACAAGTGCGCTTACGACAAATATCTCGGATTTATTGCAGTTTCTAAAAGACATAAACATTTATAATAAACTTTAATTTAACAAACTGTACTACTGTGTATGTCCCCCCACTAATAATCCTTGGTGGTTGATGTGGGTTTTGTATGTTTAAATAAAAAAAAATAAATAAATAAATAAACTATACACTTATGAAGATTGGGAAAAATATCTTTACATCAAATTCGACATTTATATTTTCTATAAATAACACCCAAACATAAATGAATACCTGAAAGATAGTTGACAATAGAGACCCCCTATTAATCAACCCACCACTGCTTAGTGAGAAGAGGTTAATACTCAATAATACTAAGATGTGACTGGTGACAGTTATATTGGTACACTCGCAGCCCGTTCTGACAGTTTTGTAATTAGAGATGCTGTAACACGTCGAGTGGTGAAGCTCTTGATCAGCTATCAGTTTGTTCCTTGGAATATTACTTAGAAACGAGAAAATTATTTCAGACAGTTTAAGCCCTTAGGCGAGACATTTGTATTTGCGCTAATTTCTTCCAAGAATTTAGACATTTTGTTTTGCATTTGGAAATGAGAAATATCTAAAAGTTTTTTTAAACTTTTGGTATTTGAGAAATATTTAAAATTTACGATAGTTTCTACTAAAATTCTTAAATTATTTGTTGTTGCAGCAATCTAAACAATAAAAAAATATTACTTGAAAAAGGTCATATTTGTCATTGTCAAAAGGTCATTTGAATTAAATCAAAATACGTACAAGTGAGAAGTGTCAATGGACCTCTAATTTGAAGATTGTTCGTAAATCTTACACCTTCATCAGATAAAGGTGTAAGATTTACAAAAACAGATTCAGATTCTGACAAAAACATTAGCTAAATACACGAGACAGGACTTACCGAAACCACACAAGATATTAATTGAGAATAATGATGTGAAAATCTTCAGAAGTAAAAATCCCCTATTAAAGTGGAAAACTAAAAAAACTCTTGACGAGGTCTCTATATTACCAAACAGATACAGCCATCCAGGAAGTGCCTCTCGTCAGTACTGACCCCCCGGAGGGAGTGTACTGGTCATCGTGATGTCATGAATTATTGTTCCTCTTCAAAGATCTCTGTTTCTGGTCATGTCTGGTGATATTCGGCCTTCTACCTTTCCTTGGATAAATCTGTTAATATTTTCTGTATCTGCTCTCATATATTTAAAGTATTCTGATTGTTGGAGATGGACTTTGCTAGAGATCCATTTGCTAATCTTCAGCTCATTTACATTTGAATTATCTATCCTGTGGTCGGGTCCACGGAATTGCCACAACGTAACATTCTTCTCCAATAGAACGTTTCAGTGGGGTTTATCTTTCTTCTTTCCGTTTGTCGTATGATTTAAAATTCATATCCGTATGGCATTATGGAAATATTAAGCATTGCGGTATTAAGATAGTACGATATGTACTACAACTTTCATACCAATTAAGCATGGAATAAGTTTTTAATTGTAAGAAAAAATTAATTGAAAAGTGATTTTTACGAATCATTGAGTCTTCAGTATAAGTATGTTCAATGTACATGCTCCAACTAAAGAATCTGCTTATGATACATGCTCCCAAAGCAACATACAAAATTGTGATTGACCACCTAAATAAAAAGATTGGCAAAGTGTGTTGCTATCAAGGATCTTTTTTTTCTTCTTCTTCGTCTTCTTCTACTTTTTATATAGACATGACTCTGTCTGTTTTTCAATGTGCCTACAGTAAGTTGTCGTTCTATCGTTTTCGTGGCCTTCCTACTGATCGTTTTCCTATTGGGTAACCGTCTCTTGCCGTCTTTACTACTCTATTTGTTGTCTTTCGGCTTATATGATCGTTCCATTTTAGTCTTCTACTTTTTACTCAGTTCTTGATGTTCTCCACTTTGCATCTACGTCATATATTTGTACTTCTAGCTTTGTCCCATAGTGTCTTATCATCAATTTTTCATCTCTGCTGTTTTTAACATCCTTTTTATCTTCTCTGTGTCAGGTCTTGTTTCTGCCGCATATGTCATTATTGATCTGATAACTGTTTTGTAAATTCTGCCTTTAGGCTCTTTCTCGATATTTTTATTTCTCCATATTGTTTCATTCAGACAGCCTTCTGCTCTGTTTGCTCTATTTATTTGATCTTCCATTTCCGTTTCGAGCTTTCCGTAGCTAGATAATGTGATG